ATGATTAATTATTAATATTGAAATAAAATATGACATTATTAACAAATTTAAATTAAAATATTTTTTTAAATAAAAAAAATTTGTTTCATGATATCGATTTATTAGTACAAAATCAATGGTTAAAAGAATTTTATTATAAAATTATCAAATATATATGAAGAAATCTCAAAATTCTGTATAAGTATTATCAGATTTATAATTAACTGCATTTAATTTCAATATAAATAAATTTTCTCCAGTTTTTTGACAAACTAAAGTCTGCGCGAAGCTTTCAGAAAAAAGAAAAGGAAAAGAGCGCGTGCGAGAGAGAGAGAGAGAAAATAGAATATATACCTCAGTATGTGATGTAAATCGGTATTATAAATGTTGGCACTACAGGCCAGTGAAAAATGTGACAGGGAAAGTCTCGCTGACTGGCATTGTATTTATGAGATGGAACTTTGCTTAAAGTTCAGCACGCCGACCAATGATGTTTTAACTTTATTGAGAACCTGGGTAGCGCATATGACTTTACGATCGGGCGTAGGCTAAATATGCCTACCCCGTAAAATTAACGGCGTTTCTATAAAGGTGTTCCAAGTCTGTGAATTGTGTTAAAACTCAATAAAAGTCAATAAAGTATCATTTTCACGAGAAACGTTCTACTTTATACATATTATTTATCGGAATTCACGTCACTACCTTATAAAATTTCGTAACCTCATATTAAATCTGGAACCAATAATTTTATTCAGACTTATTTCTGCGTTGTTATATGTTTCTACTTTGTTTGCCTAATGCCGCAATATTTGCAAAAAAAATTAATTATTTAATTTAAATTAAAGTCATTGACTGATAACAAAACTTTACGTATAAAAAGTAAAATTGTTATCTGGAAACACATCAAACATGCTAATAAATCATTGATTTCATCTTAAAGTGCTGTCTAATGTAACTTTTATTTTATAACAAAATTTCAAATGTTTTTATACTCATTTATAGTTTATTATCTGCCATTATAATCAGCTGCATTAGTATCAAAATTTATTAATAGAATATCTTGAAAATTATTCCAATATAATTTTAATTTTTACTACATGTTATAAAACCGTTACTTGTTAGATCATATTTCAAATTATATATCTTTGTCCAAGACAAAAAAAAGGCGAAAATTCTGAAAATCTTATTTGCATAATCTAATATGTACATGTAAATACATATTTTTGTGATCATTCATTATACGTACATAATGATTTAATGAAATAAAAAACAACACGTTCATTCAATTTTTTGATAGTACTTGAAATTCACATTAAAAGAAATCGATCGAATGAAGTTTCTGATCAGGCGCACTCAACTCGAAATTGCAAATTTTTCGAGCCGCAGTGTAATTCGAGCAAAGGCTCCATATTTCCAACATTTCACTTCTGTCGCTCGCTCCCCATTCACTCCCACTTCGGCATCTCAGTCTCTTCTTTTGCTATTTTGTGTTTGGCTTTTATATAATACCGATTTCGCGACGGTCAAACCAAGAGTTGATTCATGAAGACGCGGTGGACCTCCTTGGGACTGTTGGAACGTCGCGCCGGTGCTCTGCTCTCTGGCCGCCGGCGGGTGGTCTTACAGGTTGATTTCTTGTTTCTCCATTCATTCGATCGCCTTCCTTTTGTTGACCATAAGCCTCCTAAGGGACAGGAGAAAATTCAAGGCTCGATTCGATTCCCCTCATTCTCAGTTATCCCAAAAATCGCTAAATTCCATTATTTACGGATATGATATTAATAAAGAATAAAAATAATTTATAAATACTATACTCATATATTGTACTGCTAATATTAAAAATTTTACATAAATAATATTCAATAATATTTTTTTAATTCTACATAACGAAAAATAATTATTTTGAAGTTTTTCCAATCGAAATAACTATTCACAATTTATTTTAGAACATAAAATGCTGGAGTGCCTAAATTTTATATTTGAACCTAACGGAAATAGTTATATAATATATTTCAAAACATCTACAGTCTATTACTTACAATAAGATAAAATAGTATGATTATTGAATTCATTAGTTATTTATAAAATACCAAAATACTAAAATATTATATCATAAGAGAAGTAACTGAACATTTATTTGAATCCTCGATTCATTTATATTATCCTTTTTTATTACTTCCTGGTTAATTATAAACTATAATATATAAAACATTATTTTCATTTATTATTCCAGTTATTCAGAATTATTTGAATTATTCTTTAAATAAATATATGTTTTCAATCAAATATAAATCTTCGTTCACAAAAGAATATTCAATAAATATATACAAATTTACAAAATTATAATAAACAGATTTTAAGAAATATTTTATTCTTCGTTATATATAAGTTACCTACGTTAATATATAAACTTTTATATAGAAAAATAATAGATATAAATTATTTCTGAAACTATAAAGAACAAAACTAATTTTTTGAATAATCATATTAAAGAAAATAGAAATATAGATTACAAGTATAAATAGCTTGTAGACCAACATTGCCAACATTCACAACAATTTCTTTTCCTATACTTACACATATAGATGTAGTCCATTGTTAATGTTGATTCAGATGTTTACTAATAACTGAACTTGCATGGTAACAGTGCAAAAGTTCATTCTTTGTATTTTTATAAATACAACTACACCATGTATCAGGCGAGAGAAAGAGAGAGAGGGGTGAGAGAAATAGAGTGAGTGACAGAGTGAGGGAAGGGAAGAAAGAGAGAGAGAGAGAGAGAGAAGAAGAAAGAGAGAAGGGAATAAAGAAAGAGACGGAGAAGAAAATATATACAAATATTTATCTTCCTTCTTCATCTATTGCTAATAAATATTCAAAAATCTTATTCAATGAATTATTAACTTTATAATGTTTTTTAATCATATTTGTAAAGTAGCCTTAAAAGTAAACTATTATTAAGCTACTATTACCTTTATTATTAATTATTACGTATTATTATTCAGATTATTTATTTTTTTATACTTTATTTAATTCACTTTAAAATTATCAATTAAGCTATTTAGTCAGTTTGCTTAAAATCTTGTTTTCAAAATGTTATTTAATTATTCAATTATATAAATACTATTAATATTACTATTAATAGAAATTTAAAAAATGTACTGTAGTATCTGTATCAATGGATAAATAAATGATGGGATATTAAGGAGTATTATGTTATAAGAGAAAAAATAAAATTCAACATTTATCGATTTCGTAATGATTTCGTTTATTGCGAAAGGACACATGAGTCCACCCGATGTACGCATATGTACGGCTCCATCAACGTGGCACAAAGAAACATGTATCAGCATCTGCGTATATTTGCAGTTGGGCATACCATGAGTTTTGGACACGAATGACTATACATAGTGATTATTTACAACGACGACATGACAGATGATATGTACCAAATGTAATAAGAAGAAAGCGAAGAATATACGCGTAGTTCATTAATAGTTCTTTTGCCAAGTACAAAAGCGTTCCTTTCTATTTAATCGAAATTCAGTTAGGAATCTCGCTCTCGGAATATATAGAAGTGTCGCGAAAGCAGATGTAACATTAACTTATACTGAATGCGAATCAAGCCTCAGTACTGTTGTTGAATCTCATATAAAACAAAATGATTGAATTATCTTATATACACAATATTTAATTTCGTGCTCCTTAATTATTGTAATTAAATTTAAATTTCAAATCGCCCCAGCGTGCATACAAATTAATATCAATCTATATTTCTGTAAACCCTTTGATTATCTATTAGCAATTAATTATTACATTATTCAACTATTATTTCTAATGAACTAATAAATGCGAATAATATAAAAACTTTTGTTACTTTAATAACATGTAAAACCTAAATGTTATAAAATAATTAAATTTTATGTGTACATGAAGTTTGAACCTTAATTATGAACAAATATGGAATATCCAAAATTTCAATAATTTAAAAGTACTTCCAAATAGATTATACTTTGTAAAATCTAATTAAATAGGTTTATTTCAATATCGGCTTGCAATCTCATCAAAAATTTTTTTTATATTTTATGCGAATGCATATTAGTAATGCTAAACCACATCATAATCTGTAAATCGATAATTACATCATAACAGCACCGCAATAACAATAAATAATAATAATAAGACATCATAATGATTCGATCATAGTGATTGTCACTGTATGAGGGTCATTGTCGTCATCATAATAATCATCGCATTGGTGGTCGTTAGCATGAATTATGAATATCATTTAATTTCATTTTCATCATCATCGGATATCATAATAATATTGTAATCGTTCATAATGTGCCTACTCTACATACAATACATACATCGCATCCGGACGCACGAGCCGGACAGAGTTTTCCAATTTTGTTTCTTTGACTACTATTTACAAACGCATAAATAATATCAATAATTATTATATATTTATTTATTTATAATATTTATATGGTTTCACCTATAGAGAATATTTATCGTGATTTGACTGTAAATACGGTTAATCAGGTATTCCAACATCATTATCATCTGGTTCCACCTTTGCTTAATACGTACTCATCTACAGCCAACTCAACAACACGATTTCTACTGTCACGCACATACGCTCAAGATGGTTCTTCTATTGCTTTTAAATACTCCTTCAAACTATTTAAGCGATAAAAATCCAAGGAGTTTGAATCGGTCCATAGGAATTTTGATGAACGTGTAGAAAGCAACATATTTAAATAATTTCAGCACGTTCAACATTAATTGAGAATTAGTATTAATTGTTAGTACTAAATGTTTCAATATTAAAATATTTTTTAATTATAAGTATGAATTTTTAATTTGATATAAAAATTTAGTAAGGCATTCAGTTATAAAATATGACAACAGTAATTGTACAATAATTTAACAGAAACATTATTTAACAATATAATTTTAATGAAACTTTAGATTATAATTAATAGAAATAATTAAGATAATAAAGGAAATGATGTCCATGGATCGACTCAATTTGTTTGCATGATTTGTTAGAATCTCTCTTACAGAGAGATATTGATATGAAATGAAGAAATAAAATAAAAGTTCACAAAGAATGCATTATGAGAGAGACGATAAATCGCTCGATCGGCACAAATATCTTTAATGGTCACGTATGTTATTTTGTACACTAATTACAAGTTTTTATTTTTAATTATTTTATTGTCAGCCACGCGCCGCTCTCCACACTCACTGCATTCAACAAATAAACGCTGTCAGAGATATGCTTTACCATCATTTATTTTTAGATTAAATCCTCATAATATTAATTATCACGATCAAACGCGTCCAGGTGATTTCAATTCTGTAGATGTCAAAGTACCCCCTGGATTCGGCGACTGGTCTGAACCATTTGATGATGCTGTTGAGGATGATGATGGTGACACACCTGATGATGCAGTTGTTAAAAGCACGGATGACGAACCACCAGTAGTACCAGATCCATTAATGGAAAATGGAGATTTAAGATTAGTCGACGTCGATGAGGCCGATGAGGAATTAAGTATTCCCGGTGCACTTGTAGGTGGAATTACTCCACCAAGTCCTCCCAAAGTTCTCTGATATGTCTCTAATAAAGATATATCCCCTGAGCCTAAATGTGAGCTACTATAAAAGTTTCTATAAAAGTCTGGATGAGGCCTTACGAACTGAGTGCCGTGATGCATAGCTGGGTGTAATGGGTGATGAGGAGTTAATCGACTTGCCAAAGGACTTACAATTTTACCACCTGTATTTCCACCATTATTCATATTATAAGGGGAACCTAAGATATTTCCAGTATTGGGATTAGGCTGGTCACCGTCTTTACTAGCCATATCTGCAAGTGACCATATTCTTGGTTTGGTCGTTACACCACCTGATGTTGTAGAGGTACTGGTACTGGGTGGTATCGCGTGATGATGATGATGAGCACCGGGTGACGTAGTTTCTGGAGACAGATGACGTATTAACCTTCCATGAGGCGATGAACTGAGAAAAGCCGGATGATGTTGATGAAGTTGTAATGGATGTCTAGGTGGTTCTCGTTGATCATATAAACACTCTGGACTATCTGGTCCACTGTCTGCTCGAGATTCACTCCATTCGCTTTCAGCCCGTCCAGATCCTAAACCACCAGCAGGCCCACCAACTCCACTACCGTGCAACAGATCAAGGCGATGATTAGCAGAGCCCCCTCGTTCACCATCCTCACTCGAACCCGTTCCCGAATCTTTTGAGTCTGCAATTCGAACAAAAAAAATATATAGATGAAAATTGAACTTTAAAAATCACTCTCTAATAAATAATAATATTATAAGAATTTTCCATTTTTTATTAATCGATTAAAAATAATAAATAATGGAATATTAATAAAAATAACATTGAAGAAAAATAATATATAACCACATTTATATAATACAAAAACAATTTATATTTATCAATTAATATAACCGTAGAATAATCTTAATTTTATTTGAAAAAACTTACCCAGACGGTCTTTGTCGTCAACGCTTTTACGCCCGCTATCATCGTCCTCGTTATTATTATCTTCATCTTCTACCCTGTTTCTTGGCTCCCACGTCATTTTATTTTCTTTTTTCAGACGCCTACGAGCATTCGCGAACCACGTAGATACCTGAGTTAACGTCATTTTCGTTATAATAGCCAACATAATTTTTTCACCTTTGGTCGGATAAGGATTCTTCTTATGTTCATTCAACCAAGCCTTTAATGTACTTGTTGTTTCACGTGTAGCATTTTTTCGCCTTGCTCCATTCAAATCCATACCATAACTACAAACGATTACAAAATAAAAATATCATATTATTAAAAGACCAATTATATCTTTAAGCAAAATATTAAATATTGAAAATAATTGTTTTTAGCAAAGAGAAAATATTTAAAATTATATAATTCAAATAAACATTTCATATTATACTACTTTGTTTTAGACCTTAGTACCTTATATAAAAGCAAGAATATAACGAAAATAATTTGACGACATAATAGAGACAAAGCAAGCAATTTAGAAAAATATAAAGAATAATAAATAAGTCTCTTCTGAATAAGATAAAAGTTGAAGAAAAAAGTGAACTAGGAAGAGATCTAAGGAAAAGATTGAACACATCTAGAGAGAGGTCAGGCAAAGAAGAAAGTTCTCATCGAGAAAGTTATCCAATCGTGAGACTCGTTACGCCTCTGCCATATAAAAGTCGAGTTCGGTAGGTATAAGCGGTGGGTATTACTTTCATCCTGAAGCAGATCTCTTATCTAACGGTTTAAGCTTACTCTTCGTCGGTGTATGCTTAGACAGAGAAGGAATCCTTTTTCCAAACTCGTCGTCGTTGTCCTATCCGAGTTGGCAAGCCTGCAGGAACCGACAGATCCTCTACTCACTTGCCCCTACATCCCATTACTAACAGACTAACCCTTATCAAAGATTAAACTTTGGTATAACTGCTGAATCGACGGGATTGAAATTAAATTTTCCACCGCTGAACGCGAGGCTCTCCTTCTTCCCCTCCATTCTTACAATCTTACTACGTGCCCACACTTTCTCTCTGCTTCCTGAACTTCCTAAGATTTTCTGTAACACAATCTTTTCATCTTCTTATAGTACACCTTTCTCTTAGCTAAGTTTTACTTGTAAGTACAACCGAAGTAAATTAAAAAATGTCTCAAAATCAATCAACTAATTATTAAAAGAATCTATATATACTAATCAATAAACGTGTTCCTATACATAGAAACTAAATAGTAGATATGCTATTATTAATTAATATTAATGAAATAATCGTAAAAATGATTAAATTATAAGTAGTCTTTTCTGTATTTTCATAAAGTATTTTCTTTGTAATAAAAAAGTTTTCTTGTTAATAATGTTTTGTTAATATTAAAATACTATTTATTTGAAGATGAATTTAAATTTCTTAATTTTTTAATTGAAATATTTCGAAATTTTTATTACACGTAAAAATATAACATATTTTAATGTTATGAATAAAGAATTTATTTTAACGTACAATATTTAAAATTATAAAATAATGAAATTAAGTTTTTCAATAGCAAACTAAAGTAATTTTTTAAACAGTAAATATTTTATCGATACGTTTAAATTAAGGGAATTAAAATTTACATAATGCATATGTGTCTGCAACAAATTAAATAACATGACAAAGAAATCAAATACAAATATAGAACAAAAATATTACTCTTACGGTCTCTTGGTAAAGTAATATTCGAGATTTTATATCGTATATCTTATTATTGAATTTTATGTCACAACTTTTTCTATATTGCATACATATGAACATAAACGCAAGGTGGAAGAGTGAAGTAAATGGAAAGAAAAAATTAAAAGACATCAACTTGATATCGCAATCACATCAAATAGGAAAAATTAATAAACTTGTCGTTTCTATATAAAGGAAAATATAATATTTATCTTAGATTTTGTGTACAAACTATAAAAGATATATAAATATTTCGAAATTCAATAATTGATATATAAATAGCTAAATTATGTATGTTTATAGAAAATAAGTTATGTGCATATGATGTGATGAGTGTTTGAAAATATTTGATTGCATGCATATATATTTTTATATATGTGCCAATGATATGTAATATGTTTCTTCAACAAGATATATTTCTTCAACATGTCTTAATGCATCTCTATATTTTATGTGCTATTTATTTGTTCCTCCATTTTTTAGCAAATATTATAAAATACTATCTACAATCTTTTTTTTAATTATTACGCATTAAATTGATTTAATAACATTTTACGTAATTTTATTGCTTATTTTACTAATATTAACCACAATAACTAATGGTTTTTAAATATGTTTAGTTTACAATATTTTGCTTAATCACAAAATATCTAGAATTTTTTTATTGTTTATTGCTGAAAGGTGTTTCAAGTTTTAAAAATGTTAGCTTTATTTATAAATAGAAATTTATCCGATAACTTTTTAATTTATCTTAATTTTGACTAATTACATATCTGAAATTTTGTTAATATTCTCCCTACATATATAATTAAAAATTGTATATATATATATATATATATATATAATTAAATATATCTTTAAATATGGAAAAAAATTAATTCAATGTAAAAGAGAGAGAAAAAAATGATGGAGAAAATTTTATTCTCCTTTAGGGACCATGCTGTACATTTCATCCTATCTGTCTGCCGGACAAGGTGCGGCAGAAGACAAAAGCGAAACCGAAGAGAAACATAAGCGCGAGTTAAAAAAGCAGAAGAACCAGTGGTGCAGTGCGAGGGGTTACCTCTGAACGATGAGGGCTTAATTCTGTCTTTTCGTCTCTCTCCCCTACTCGAACTTGCTCACTCTCTCTTCCTCTGTTTGTTTCTCACAAATGGTGTTCTGCAGCTATTTTCAAATTCAGCAAGAACGGAAAAGCGAGAAAGAGACGATGGAGGCGGCGAAGATCGGATTAAAAAATCAGAGTGGAAGCTTGTTTCTCATGATAACAGCCAGCCAGTCGGTTGCTGTTACTCCAATGTAGAGAGGGAGAGAGACAGAGCGAGGGGAAAGGGAGTGATAGTGTGAGAGGGAGGAGGGCTAAATAGAAGCGGGAACTGCTGTTACCGCGTTGCCGGCTTTCTCTCCACCACTTTCATTTCTTCTCTTTATCTCTCTTTTCCTGAATCCCACTCTAAATTCTGATACACGTTTCTCCCTCCCTCTATCTCACCCTAACCCCCGATTCATCTGTCGGAGACTGCGCAGCTTTAAATGCGTTCTGTTGTATAAGTGATGAGACGGATGTATATACCTATATTCTAAGGGAGAAGGATAGAGCGACAGCACATCGAAACCCTTTCTTCTCATGCGCAAACTGATCGCATCAAGTGCTTGTTTCCATGGCGATTGCTAATCGGACCGTGCTGTCTCGTCTTCGTTTCGGCATATTTGTGTTTTCAGTCTATCTACCTCCGCTTCTTCTGCCAGCAGCAATTTTCGTCGATTCTCGCGCATTTATACGTATATGATCCGCCCCCATGCGCCTGTCGCCTCTCTGATTCGTCCTGCCACTCTAGCGAGTACAAACGCACTATTCCTCGCTTAATAAAGGACGTGGATGAAGAAACTTTCTCGTTTATTGGATTATCATATTAACCTGAGCATTTATGCACAAGTCTGATTGGTTTATTGTATAATGCAAGAGTAGAGTCGTATCTTTTTGTTTCCTTTAACACCATTGTGAAGTACGGTTTATTGGAAATTATTTAAACAATTAATATATACATTAGCTAAATATTACTTTAAGATGCTACAATAATAAGCCAGTACAAGAACAATCTATTATACAAACATTTTTTGGTATAACTTTGTTAGCTTTAAAATCATTATGTTAGAGATTTAAATGGCTACATAAAAGTAGTTTAAATATGAAAAATAATATTGGTTTATAATAAAACTCCTTTAGTTTATGTATGAATATTTAACGTTTGGAACAATATCATTGATATATATGTTAAAAATTATTATTCTAATTGCAATCGCATATTAAAAATAATTTATAATGTCAAAAAATATGTTATAAATAATTATTTTTGTAAAGCACTATCAAATATATAGAATACCTCTAACAACTAAAAATTATCAATGAAGAGATAATATTTTTGTGAGATTTTTGCGTTTGACGTATAAGTAATATCTAATACGAGATTATGCAGAATTTTAAACAACAGTTATATAATCACATCTGTTAACATGTGAATTTCATTTCAGCAGAAAAGAAATAAATGTCTTTTAAGGTACGAAAAATGAACACATGCACGATTTCTCAAGAAACTCGGCTTGTATATATGAACTAGCAACGAAGTTTGTATCGATAATCGATGAACGTTGTTTGACATGATTTAAACAAGTGCTACTGATAGACAGTGGAAAAGAGATAAAAACGATTACATTCATAATAATACAAGGTCGAAATGTTACAATGGATTGCTCCTATGTTTTGTTAGTAAGGCTGTTAAAATGCATTGCACTACCAATAATTTCTTTTGAAAGTCAGTGAGGAATTAGTTATAAACAAGCCTCATTATTTCATTCGATCAACAGTTATGTCTGATAATATATCAAATATCTCTTATACAAAATCTATTCTCACATTCATTATAAGTATAAGTTCTATTACATACAATATAAAATTTATTGATCATATTATAGTTATCAATTTTTTTTTATATTATAAAAATATATAATACAAAAAATATTGAAAAATACATTGAAATATAAATATTGCATCTTGTAAAAAATTGTGAACTAATAATTTATATTTAATATTGTTCTTGTTTTAAAAATTATTACTTAATAATGAGTAAGTTATCTTTAAATATATGATACTATATGTTTCATAAATGTAGTATCAACGAATCTATTATAAAATAGTTTATTTAAACATAATTGTTACTCACATTATTCTGGTTCCTATGTCATTCGATAAAACTAACTAAGAGAGCCGATTTCATTAATCTATTGAGTTAAAAACGAGTCTTCACTTGTGAATTATTTACTTTTATAAAATAAATAATAAAAAATTCAAATATATTTAATTTAATAGAAAAAATTTAATTTAGAAGAATACAAAACCAAATCAGTATACGAAAGCTGTGTTTATTCATTTTGATAATGGTATAGCCCCATTTGATGCGAGATGTACGTCCCAAGGGAAACCGTGCATCTACACGTGAAGTACCACATTGAAGAAATCGAATGATTCACTTACATTGTAACTACATTAAAAGACTTTAGAA